GTAACTATTTAGTTACCAAATTAGTATTAGGGGTCCTACCCTGATGACGACAACAGTATCATCTGGTACGTGTACGTGGACAGATGCAGCGAGAGACTGGCATCTTTGATGATCACACCTGACTGATTTACAGTTATAACATGGCTGATTGGAGAAGACATATTTATCTGTTCAATTACTAGATATTTAATGGAACTTTCAAGAAAAACTGGCAATAGTAATGATATTACAGGTGATTAGATTTTGGATTGTCATATACATTTATCTCTGATAACCTCCAAACCTTGTACCATTTATATCACAGTCGAAGCTTCGTATTATTTTTAGATAGATTTATGACCTTGCAAGCATTAGAAATAAACCTTTTATCTGGTGTCGGAATAGATCAGGATAATGGATTTGTGCTTGGTTCTAAAAAATACCTTTCTGTGGTATTTGATCTATTGGTATTTAGATAAGTATAAAAACCTTCATGTACAATGTACATATATATATAGTGCCATTTGGCATTCTTAAGTGCTCAGTTACTGATAAATTTTATTTCTCTAAAAAGGGATTTTAGAAATAAAAAAATGTTGTGTGTATGGAATAAGGTACTTACTCAGGGTGCTTAGATCCACAGGAAATTGTCGTATGGCATGATACATGTTACATATTGTACAGACTTCATCTCTGTTCTCACAGTGCTATTCTGATCGAGTAAAGGAAACCCTTAGTGCCAGCTAGCATTGACGGGTTAGTGGGTAGCAATCTACTATACCTTAGTACTGGTTACCAGTCTGTAACAAGTGTTACCAAGGTATATCTCTACTGGTTACCGGTCTGGAAGGACGACTACTAGTTACCAGTCTGTAACAGGTGTTACCAAGGTATATCTCTACTGGTAACCTGTCTGTAACAGCTGTTACCAAGGGATATCTCTACTGGTTACCGGTCTGTAAGGACGACTACTAGTTACCAGTTTGTAACAGGTGTTACCAAGGTATATCTCTACTGGTTACCTGTCTGTCACAGCTGTTACCAAGGTATATCTCTACTGGTTACCGGTCTGGAAGGACGACTACTAGTTACCAGTCTGTAACAGATGTTACCAAGGTATATCTCTACTGGTTACCTGTCTATAACAGCTGTTACCAAGGAATATCTCTACTGGTTACCTGTCTATAACAGCTGTTACCAAGGTATATCTCTACTGGTTACCTGTCTGTCACAGCTGTTACCAAGGTATATCTCTACTGGTTACCTGTCTGTAACATCTGTTACCAAAGTATATCTCTACTGGTTACCTGTCTGTAACATCTGTTACCAAAGTATATCTCTACTGGTTACCTGTCTGTCACAGCTGTTACCAAGGTATATCTCTACTGGTTACCTGTCTGTAAGGACGACTACTAGTTACCAGTCTGTAACAGGTGTTACCAAGGTATATCTCTACTGGTTACCTGTCTGTAAGGATGTCTACTGGTTACCAGTCTGTAACTATTGTTACCAAGTGATATCTCTACTGGTTACCTGTCTGTAAGGATGACTACTAGTAACTAGTCTGTAACTATTGTTACCAATGGATATCTCTACTGGTTACCTGTCTGTAAGGATGTCTACTGGTTACCAGTCTGTAACAGGTGTTACAAGGGATCTCTCTATTGGTTACCAGTGAAATGTAACTATTGTTACCAATGGATATCTCTACTGGTTACCTGTCTGTAAGGATGTCTATTGGTTACCAGTCTGTAACAGGTGTTACCTAGGGATCTCTCTATTAGTTACCAGTCTGTAAGGATGTCTACTGGTTACCAGTCTGTAACTGGTGTTACCAATGGATATCTCTACTGGTTACGAGTCTGTAAGGATGTCTACTTGTTATTTACTGTCTGTGACAGCGGTTACCAAGGTATATCTGGTTACCAGTCTTTATCATCCATCACTAAGAAATAACCCTCTTGGCCCTCATTCCTTCTCAGAGTTTCTGATGATATATCTAAAGTAGTGCAATCTGTTGTGTTCACCCTGGTATGACCTTGACCTCTAGCAGTGCAGAGGCTATGTGACCTGATACCCTAGTGTGATAATTTGTTGGCTATCTGTATGTGTAGGTGTCCCTTCTTTGGAAACCCTAACTCCCTTATCTAGCCTCAGACTAATTTACTGTGACACCTAGGGGAGGCATCCTACTGCAGGTTCTCCCAATTTAGACAGATTTTTTTTTTATCTGAGATTAAAGTAAAATTTCATGTGACAGCAACTAATTAGTCTTCACCAATGTGATGAGCTTCATTCAACTTTTATAAGTTAAATTTTGTCAAGTCTTTTAGTGATTTTTTTTTTTCTTTCAATTTTTGTAAACTTTCCGTTTTCTATCAAAGTTGTTTGTTTTGGTAAAGGTAGTGTGTTGACTTTCCTCTCTCATCCTCCCTGATGAATACATTGAAAGGCAATGACAAAGAACCATTTGAATGTTTTAAAGCTGACAGTACTTTACATAATATGATTACAGGACGTCCAGTGTGATTGGATTGCGGCTGAGAACCTGTACTAGTAGGGCACTTTTACACCTGTGTGTAACACTCATGACTTACTTTTGACTTTAATTAACTTTTACCTCCAGGTGGAAATCTGATAAAGAAACTAATAAAAAAACATACTCTGTCTCAAACAGAATATATGGCCTCTTGGTGTGAAAAAGTACAATAGATACAGGAAGGATATACAAGTAAGGTGTATTTAATACTTTTATTCATGGATTCTTGTATACCTGGTAATTAATGTGAAAATATATATCTCACAGAACAGTAGTGATTTACAGCAAACAATGTTACATTTACTATACTGTACAGAATAGTGTATTTTACACACCACATATACTTAGTATTGTACAGGTACTCTCAAGCAGTAACACTGTATTACTGTATTTGTCTGGCTATAAGCCCATATGTAATAACCCCATGCCTGGCAATAAGCCCATCGCAAAAAGTAGAAATGCAATCAAAAGCTGTTTTCCTGTAATAAACCCTTGCCATTTCCTTGAGTCTGAGATTATTTGTTGACCCCCTGGGCCAATTGCAGAATAAATACGGTACATTGTATATTACTAGTCATAGATTCAACCCTAACAGCAGCATGTTGTAATTGAATCTATGACTATGTAACCCATTTTACTCCATCACCCTGCATACTTTTGGGCATCCAGACAAGATTTGTCCACCATTGAAGAAACCATTGGCTCTACCGAATACTGGATATTACTACATTCAGAATTTATCTCTACATGATTTTACATGCTGTTTAACGACACGTTTCATGAACCTCAATTACGTAACTTCACATCAAAATGAACAACCTGACAGCCTTTTAATTATTCTGACAAGGCAAAGGCAGAAATTGTGCCATTTTGAATTTTAGTGTAGGCATCATTAAGAAAATCTCAAAATCATTCCCATCATTCTATCTAAATTTAATTTCTCTTATGTCAGATGAAACAGGAGCTTGTTGGACTAATGTACCTTAGTACTATTGAACAACAATGTTAATTATGTAATGAAGGCTGCAGTCACTGTCTTTGTTGTTTGCCTAGTAGATAATGTTTATCAATTCTGTAGACTGATGGACCTTCTATGACTTCCAATAATAAATGCAGCTCTACTGAGATAAAGGTAACTGATACTCCATTGTTAAAACAGGTGTTTAAAACTGGAAATATTCACCCTTGAGTCGTTTCGCCTGTATGGATCAAAAGAAGACTTAATTTACCAGGGGAAAACAACCTGTTCTGGTCATTTAATTTAGCATTAAACAGGTTGTTTTCATCATGAAAAATGACACACGAACTTGACTGAGCTATGTAAACAGAGGTTAATCAATGTGTATTATAGAGAGCATACAGTCACAGATGGCATGTATTATTTCTCTACATACCACTCAGGTCAAGTTATATAATGTCAGTTAGGACGAATGTACTCCACTGGATTTCATCAAGGTAAACAATTTATGAAAGAAAATTCTCAGAACAAATATAATGTTTCATGATATCAATTGTCATGGTTAGAAGTCTAACTATTGTTACAAACCTCTCAACATTGACCAAAAAACGTTTAAAACATGAAATAATCTTTTGTGTAGGCTTAATTGAGTAATTCAAACAATTCTGTTTACCAAACTACAATATAGGCATTGGTTATACATATATATATATGTACATGTATATAGTTAGCTACTACAGTGTATGAGCAGGCTGCAGCAGTGAAAAACAAAGTGCTTGGTATTGCTGCCATCAGGACAGATCTACTGTTCTACTTCTATAAACCAAATAATAGCTGTTTATTATTTATTTTTTTGGAACAATATTAAAAAAGGTCTTGATGGAGTTCTAAATAGAATAGGGTATGACTAAGTATTGCAAGGCAATGCATAGTTCCCCATCAGTAATGATTTCTTTATTCCCAAGCTTCTGCAGACAAACTTTGAAGGTTGAGGTCTAAGGTCATACCATCGCAAGATGTACTTGCATACCAAATCTGGTTACTCTAGATGAAATAGTATAGACGATTACTGTATGCCCGGAACAAACTTTTCAGATGGAAGGACAGACGGACGAGTGCAAATCTGTAGTTCCCTCTAGGAAATGGTGGGGGACTAATAAAACAGACAATATTATGCAACATACATGTTTTAAAATGGAAAATAAAACATTTAATTTCAGATCTTTTTTATTGTTTTTTATTGTTTTTAAATAAATACAAGGATGAAATATGGTAGTGAGAATAGTTAAATGAAAATGATTCACTAGGAAAATAATAATTGATAATCACTACCAGTAATGGTGCCATTGTATTTCTACCCTGTACATATGGCAGCAGATCTGTGTACCTTGGCTTGATGTGTCAGATCACCTAGAGTATTAATACTCGTCCCAGCATCAGTCATACTGATGGTGTCCCTCCCCACCTCCTAAGGGGAGGAGTCTGGAGCCTGCTTCTGTTGACATATCTCTATTGTTGTTACAGGATTGTACCAGTATAATCACAGCAAGGTGACGGGACTCTAGAACTATAGACAGGCAAGTACCCAACTACATAGAGGTGGATAGCTACAGAGTGACACACTATTAACAGCGTTGGATAGTCTCAGAGTGCCGAACTACATAGAGGTGGATAGTCACTCTATCAACAGCTTCGGATAGTCTCAGAGTGCCTCACAACACAGCAGTAGTTCCACACTATAAACATTGGTGGCTCATTTTGTCACACAGTGGTGCCGCACTATAAACATTGGTGGCTCTTTTTGTCACACAGTGGTGCCACACAATAAACATTGGTGGCTCTTTTTGTCACACAGTGGTGCCACACTATAAACATTGGTGGATCTATTAGTGTACAGTGCCACACCACACAGACTTGGTTCCATCACCACCAAACTTTCACCACAGGGTGGATACATTTGTGGATACTGCCGCCTGTTTGTTGATACACCCACCCACCTGTGGATACATCGTTTGGTGACAGTGAAGTCAGCCTGTGGTAGCAGTGGTGATCGAGACATCATGGAGATCAGCTGTGTCCATCAGGTGTTAACTGTTTTATTGGGATTTTACTTATTTACAGGTAAAATTTTATTTATTAATAAATTAATAAGGTCCACTATGGTTATCAGTAGTAATTATGAATCTACATATGGCAAAAGAATAAAAGAAAATCAAAGTGGGGGCCAAATGTTGACCCCACCTTTTTAAAGTTTGTAAAGTTACTCAATATATATATATATATGGTCAAAGTGTAGGATTGGGAGGTAGGGAGTTTTCTGAAAAATGAAATGTATTTATAGATAAAAACTCAGAAATTGATATATTGAGCATGACCTAGGGGTCAAAGTTCATTATGGGGTTTTGTTGAATATGCAATGAAAAAAATATGTCACAAAAAATTGATAACAAAATAATACTTACTCCATGTATTAAAAAATATTTGCATTACAGAAATAATTATAACAAATCCATTCTAGCCAACTTTTTGAAATTTCCATTTGGGAGATTACGCATGCTCAGAATTAAAATCATTAATACATTTATGTGTATGTACACCCTAGGGAAAAATAATACTTTAAATGACATTTTTTTAGCTGTTCTTTCAGACGAAATCATCAGATCTTAGAAAATAGGAATACAATGTATATATATAGGTTAGCAAATTCATTGGTTGATAATAATCACTTTAAGGGTCCAGAATTGGAAGTCAGTCCCTGGCTCCTAAATAGGGAGGGTTAATTGGCAAGTATGCAAATAAAATAGTTATAAACATATCAAAGTAATAAGATGATTATGAAAATTTGAGATCAGTAACAATTTGATTTCTAATATATTTTGCTAAAGTTATGACAGTATATTAATTAGTTACACTGAAATATAAACATTTATTTCAGAAGGAGAAGCACCAAAATTTGAAATCATTATTATAACAGTTTCCACTAATACTTGATTTGTAGGTACTGTATTAGCTATCGCATAAGATGATTGATTTAGCTATTAGAGATGTACACAGTAGTCAGAAGCCTAGAAACTCCCCTGTAGGATAATAGCTATAGGCCTTAAGGTATTAAGCCTGTCTGTTTCTCATATCACCCTTCTTTTTTTTTTTTATCTCAATTGGATGACACAATTAACGCGTAGCTTTATCTTTTCTTGATAACAATAATAGAAACTGCTTCTGTGTAAGACCCTGTTCTCTCACCCAGCAATAATTATCTCCACTTGCATTGACTGAGCAACTTACGGCTCACTATGTATTACAAACCTACTGCTAGGGGGCAGTAGTGGTTTAACAAAACACTAATACAGGATTTTTTCACAAACTTAAGCATAAAGGTACTTTTTAGCAGTATTTTGCATTATATCAATTTGCAACAATTTTGAAAACATCATTTTCAGTAATTATTTTTTAACTTATGAAAGAATTACATAATTTCTGTAATTTCATTTGGACTTACAAAATGCAGTATGCTAATTATCTAACATGAGGTTGAATTTAAACTCTGGTAGTATATACTGGAAATAGTCAATGTACAACTCATACTTACCTGGTACAGGGGATACCGTGATCATCCAGGCGGTTCCCCCAGGTCGAGGCCCTTCCATTGCACTCCGGTCGGGCTGAACCCTGCGATAATCCCAAATGCGGATTACTCGGGTACGCTATTTTTTAGTGTGGGGGTCTGCGTTCGCGCTAACCCCTGACATAATCAATTGAAACAAATATTCCTTCTCTAAACATTTCATTAGATACATAATATAGTATATCTTAACAATGAAAATTTTATCTTAACTTTTCCCATTGGAAAAAACTTTTTAATGATATTTAATAACCAATCATTATAATGAACTCTCCAATTAAAACAACATCATAGCTTTGATTTAGTAATCAATTTAGATTACTCATTGAAAACTGTATGGCTGTCTAATTGGTCAGTTGATGGTAGTAGCTTAACCTTGTTACATTAAGGTCACTGGTCAGGTGAGTTAAATAGAATTTTGTTTCCCACAAAATGGTCAGTTTTTCTTTTGATGGTAAGATGTTCTACTGAAGGTCAGATTCCCATGTGAAAGCAATGACTTTTGTATCAGATACAGGGTAAGACAAGGCCACCATGATCCTACATCTTTTGACACCTGTAAGTAGAAATCTTACACAGAATCTCGTGTGAATGGGATCTAAACTACTTATCAATTGACATATTGACACATTTCTTTAACGAGGAAGGTCTATCTTTAGCCAATCTTGAGAGGAGCTGTTAGTCGAACCTCTGATCATGTTGAGAGCTAGAAGCTAGAGCATAAAACTGTATTACAAATTCCATGGCATTCCATGCGCACCTAAACACACCAAGGCACATCCTATTTTGTGAACTCCCAATTTTAATGAAAGACAGTCATATTGAGTTTTTATCTGTATTTTTGCAGGATTTTTTTTTTTTTTGCAATTATGAAATAGTCGCTACCTATACAGAGTTTCAGTGCTGACGTCCTTATCACAGAGAGGCAGATACATATACTGGTGCATATTTTATAGATATTGCTATCTATCAAGTATATCAGGGCATTTCCTCCCCAGAATGAACCATGTTTATATCTGCCCCATCAAACTGGGTTAATTTAAAACAGTTGGGCAGGTCTTTTAGTGTGCAGAGACGGGAGCATGGTCTATCTCTCTTGCCCAAACTTCTAGCCTACAGGTCTGTTAGATCTTGATAGAAGGATCAGTATACATGTCTTACCTTATCCTGGCTCTATCTATACTAGAGGAAATGTTTTAAAAGTTTTTTTCTTAAGTATTAGTTAGATTAAAGGTATATCAAACATCTGCTGGCCTGGGGAATATCCAGATTTGCATAAAACTTTTTTGTTTTCATGGAAGTTCCTTACATTATGGTACCATGCGGAAATAAATTTCTAACTATCAAGCTTTATCGCTTTTCAAACATGTCATACAAAGAAAATATTTGCAATGCATTTATTCAATGTCGTCAATAGTTAACAAAGAGACATTGAAATAGCACTTGTTGGCATTTCTACTCAATTCCAATTGGTAGATAATAGAAGGGGGGGGGGGGGGGGGGGGGGGGGGGCTGATTACCAGGTATGGGCTTATTGATGGATAAATATGCAACAAGTGCATTAATTTCTATACCGACATATATATGATGACATTAGATAGATATGTTTTGATAATGATACTTACCAGGTCACCTTGAGTTCCTGTATATAGGACCATTTACACTGATATCTTGGTATTCAATGTTGATTGAATTTATTTTTGTTCGTTTGAATTTCAAAGTAGTTTCAAAATATTTTGTTCTTTGGGAGGCGTACGCATGACACCAATCCATTGATCATCCGACCTGTTCTGTTTTACAATTTCTGTGCACGTTTTACTAAAACAATTTTGAATGGGTATTTTTTAACAGCTGATACTTAGCTTTTATAGACAATGTCACACTGTTTCTGTAATAAAATGGTGCAGAATGATACAGTTGCCATGGCTACAAAATTGGTTAAATTTGGTATTTATCATGTTCAGAAAGGTTTTTAATGGAATGTAAAATGCAAGTTGAAGAATAACAAGGGAGATAGACCATATGTTTAGCTCTAATAATCCAGTGTAAAATGTCACACAGGAGACCGACAGATATGTCTTTGTGCTGAGGACAATAGCTGACATACATACATTGTACCCCATTACTTGTGGCTGTGGTAAGGATTGAAATATGGATGGCAATATAGTCAGCCACCAGCTAGAAAACCATCCGGAGGCTGTCAAGATCCATCTGACATTTTGCTATATCTGATAAAAAGACATTTTGATTGGTTGGAGTTACTTGCGGAAGTGTTCTGAAGCACCATATAGTTGATGGTAGATCAGGATTACAGGTCTGGGTAATTAATTATGTGACTAATCCAGTCTTCAACACTTCCTGGGATTTCTTCTTGTTCTTTTTTTTTATTCTTGAGTATAAAGTCCAGTTTACAACAATAGTGTGTGGTAAGACACTCTAGTGTACAGTAAGATTCTGTGATGTACAGTAAGACACTCTAGTGTACAGTAAGATTATGTGATGTACAGTAAGATGGTCTAGTGTAGAGTAAGATTATGTGATATACAGTAAGATGGTCTAGTATACAGCAAGATTCTATGATGTACAGTAAGATGGTTTACTAGTGTAGAGTAAGATTCTGTGATGTACAGTAAGATTCTATGATGTACAGTAAGATGGTCTAGTGTAGAGTAAGATTCTGTGATGTACAGTAAGATGGTCTAGTGTAGAGTAAGATTCTGTGATGTACAGTAATATGGTCTGGTGTAGAGTAAGATTCTGTGATGTACAGTAAGACACTCTAGTGTACAGTAAGATTATGTGATGTACAGTAAGATGGTCTAGTGTAGAGTAAGATTCTGTGATGTACAGAAAGATGGTCTAGTGTA